AATGCGCTGCTTGGAAGACAGTAGATTGCAGCATAAATTGCATTTCCACTTAATTACACCATCGTGTGATTTGACACAGTCAAAATCATGATTAGCATGAGCAGAACTCATATGCAAGTCCAGGTTTCTCTTAGAAACAAATAATTTGTCACACGTCTCGCACAACCATTTTTCCTCATCTCCTCCCGCGCCTCCTCGCAATCTCAAAATCGGTTGTACCATTGCCGGCGTAGATGTAGAAGCCAGAGTTTTCTTCCTAAATTCCCGAACAAACTGACCTTCCATACGGTCAAACAAGACTCGGTTAAAGTCTCTAACAGAGCAATTATTACGAATGGAAGCCAAAGTTATCGCAGTGTTAAACATAAGCAAATGACGAATTACATTGCTACTCTTTATATTTACCCTTTTAAGGTAATAATCTACTGAATCAAAGACGGGAACGGCCATTCTTGGTTCAATACCCTCGATAGAACAACAGAGGTAGCGATTAAGCAAATAATGAAGTTCCCAGCAGCTTGATGGCGAACAAAATGATCGTAGGTACAAAATAGCATTAGGAACTGTTTCGAAGAAAAGTTTGTCAGAGATATCGGATGTGTCATTTTCAGAAGAATCACCAGTTCCTTGTGATAAGCCTTTGCTAAAAGCCGCCATGCTTAAATGTCCGACCAATGTGGTCACATGACAAGTCTGAGATCTAGTTGCCAGGTTTTTTTCTACTTTCAATGCGAAAACAGCGAAAAACAAATCAACCTGGCGTTCCATAATAGAGACCTTTAGATTCAAGGGCGAGAACGACTACGAGTACGAGATTTGACTTAAAGTTTTTTTAGGCAAGTTTCAAAATATAGACTCCCCGGAAACCTTCATTTTACTATTTTTCATTAGAAAAGTTAGCAGTGTTACCTTTAGTGAAGGAGGTTACCCGCTCTCCCGATCGCAAAAAGATAAAACTTCCAACATTTGATGTTAAAGTCGTTTTCCCGCTAAAATTCGTAGTACAGTGACGAGGAGTGACGACGGCTACCACATTTTCTTGCCAAAATGACGTTGGTTCACGCGCGAGCACAGCTTAGTACTGAGAAAATCTCGCACGTTGCCGTACTCATCTTAGAATCTAATGCGAAGTAGTGCCGCCATGGAAGAATCGCGGTAAGTTTATTCTTCAGTTATCTTTATTTAACTTTTTCTCCTCATGACGAACCCATGTGCAACGCATTTGCAAAATGGCCAGATATTAAAAATTTACTCTTGGCTGTTTTTTAAATTTTTCAGGCCATTGACAAACCTACACGCAATGCATTACCAGATGGTTTTCGCAAAAATTATTTTCCTGCCAGAAGCTTAAAATTCCAGGGCATTTCAGAGCCAAAAAAGGAGTTCTATTCTTCGCCAGCGGCACTGATTGAAACCGGGGATTGGAAAAGCCAAACCCTGAGCGTGCAAGCAAGATAATTTACCGCTCTTGGCTGTTTTTAAAAACTTTTTTCGCCCATGTTTTTGCTTGAAAGGTGTTCTGTTCTTTGACTTTTGATAATTTATTCCCATTTTTTTTTTCAATTGACAAACCTATGAATTTCACGGGCGAATCGCAAGAGCGACATTGCAAAATAGTTTTCCAATGCGATCGCTCGCGTATTTTCGAGTTAGCCAAATATTCCGAAGGACAGCCAAATTAGCTGGTGTTTGTTTTTTTATTTTCCAATCACTGAGAAGCTTAAAATTCCAGGGCATTTTAGGACTAAAAACAGTCGAGGAAAGTGTGGGGTGAAATCGCCACTAAAATAAATGAGCAATTTCTGTTCTTTGTCAGGACTGGAATCGATCGGTACTGACTAAAACCGGGAATATTAAATTGCAAAAGGAGCGCCAGGGTGATAGATTGGCAAATGCTGTAGAGCAAATGCAAGAAATGCACCCTGAGCGTAAACAATTACTCTGAAACAAAGAGACAGCAAGACAATTTACTCTTGGCTGTTTTTGTTAAAAAACTTTTTCGTCCCATTGACAAAATTGTGTAAAACAGCACATGCTACAACTGTATCACTCACAGAACTAACCCCGCTTTCGATTTGCTTTGTCAAAATACGCCAACGACTTTTCAGAATTCCAAAGGCGCATTCCACGGAAACTCTGGCCGAGGAAAGTTCCTCATTAAATGCAATTTTTAAATCCGGGATCTTGCGTTCCTTCAGGGTAAACTTTTTGTAACCAGGGAGCCAAAAATAAGCGCTATCGGCCACCAAATATGGACCAATCTCTCGGCCGAGAACATTCATAGTAGGACCAGTCAATAATTCTTGGTTCTCGCATCGTCTGTAAAGGCGTTCTGTAACACGCGTGCATCGTGCAGGGATCCTACAAATGCTTGAGGTCTAGAGGTGTTCTGTTCTTTGACAGCAACACTGATTGGAAAAGCCAAAGCCATGATAATTTATTCTTGCCTGGTTTTTAAAACTTTTTTTTTTCAATTGATGAAACCACGCGAAAGGCATTAAAATGAATTTTCTCATTCGAAGCTGTTTCCTGAAATATTCGAAAAATGAATATCAAACCATGAATCGGCGGGTCAAGGAGAACCCAAAAGTACGGATGTTTTGTCCAATCATAACAATCTCAAAAAGCTCTTGTAGGTTTGTCCTCAGTGCACATCTGAAATTGTACAAATGCTGCAGCTACAAAAAGCAGAAAACGTCTTGGGATCATGTTGTTATGAAATATGATTTCCGCCAAGTATTGGGAACTGTAAATTTGCGATGGAGCGTGGACAACAGACAAATTGTCAGCGGACAAACTTAAAGCCAAATCCTGTGGAGTTTGCCCCGGGACATTCGAAATGTCTGGCTCTAGTGCGATTCGGCCCTAACCTTGTAGGTTTGTGTGCAGTCGAGTGCGATTCGCGGGAACTGTAAATTTGGCGCGCTGCAAGCGATCGTTCGCGCCGGGTCTTACCATCCCGCTGGGACCGGAATGAGAAAACAAGCGAACGACTTTGTGGAAAGTCCAATCGTCCCTTGACTAAATGAACATATGTAGCGTCAAAAGCCAGTAAAACCTCTGGTACCCAGGGTATCTCCCATAAAGAATATATATATATATATATATATATATATATATAAAATAGGGGGGTCTTTGTTTTCAAGACAACCCTGCTTACGACCATATTTCTATAATTTGCTCATTACGAACAGCAAATTTCACACTCTTTAACCAATCCAAAAGAAGTGGTGTTGGCTATTCATAGATTAAAAACTGCTCGACGAACAAAAAATTTCACACGTTTTGTTAACAGCCAATCCCTAAAAGGCGGCGTTGGTTTGAGGTGCATCACAACGAGAAGATTAAACACGCTTGAAGCATACCGCTCTCACACGTCCAGTGATACATGATCATCTATTTTTCAACACAAACGTTTTTTGCAGATTTTTACGTGTTTTTACATCTTCATGAAAGCATGGCAAAATATGTTGTTGTTGACTGGGGAAAGTGGGGAGTCGAAGTGAAGTTGTCTACAAAGGTGGTGATGAAAGATCATTTCAACGTCAAAGAAGGAGATACATGCTCGATTCAAGGTACCGATCCAGAGACTAAGAGACTGATGATGTTTGAAGGAGAAATCTTGGGGGTATTTGGTGAGTAAATGAGCAGTTCCTTAACTTAAAGAGAAAAAGTTTCATTTTATGACGTGCTATGTTATCCTTTTCAATGATTTAAACCCCCAGTGTTCTAAACATACCTAGCCGTTTTTATATCATTTGAAATGAGCGCGCAAACGTTAAGGTGATTCGCTGGTTTTGCACTGTGCATCTCTCACTGTGCATTACAAGATGGCCGCCGTAAACAAGAGCATCTAAAGAAAAATTATTTTAACAAAGTTGACTGAAGAGAAACGCTATTGGAATTTTTGCTTGCGGATGTTTGTTGCCGAGGTAAGACTCAGTTGGGATATGTGCATAACGTAAGCAGTGCGCATGTTGCTGAGTTCAACTTCCTCACAGAGAACCTCGATAGTGAATGTTAAACTTGTGCTTACTCACTTTGATTATCATTTAAACACTCTCTTTATCACATTGTGTTCTAAATGTGATATCGCGATTTAAATTATGTAAAAACGGATTTTTTAATACTTTCTTCCCCTTTCACGTACATGCCATTTGAAACTCGCCCCAGTCCTCTCTCAAAACTCGGAGAAAATGCATTTGGTGCGCACTAATTCTGCAGCTCTACCACAAACACAAGTAGAGGGGACTACGACTTTTTGATTAATTCAGCTGTATGGTAAATTGCATGGTTTTTAGGTAAAAAAAAGGATGCCAAATACATTCTAAATGCCCTAGTGAGTCCTCCAGTTAAAGATTCGTCCACGCCAAGAGCCAAAACCTTCAAAGAAAAAGCTGGAAGCTGAGTCAGAAAATGAGGAACCAAAAAGAAAAAAAGCGAGAAAAGAGCCTGCGGCAGAAAAAGGTGGACAGCTAAGCCAAGTCGAAAAGGAACCAGAGTTGACTCCGAAGAGTAAGAGTTCGATTAAGAAGGCAGCCGACACTAAAGCTAAAGACACCCAGGATGCTCAGCTCATTTCAGCTGCAAACACTGAAAGAGTGCAGAATCTACTACAGCGAAGAGAGCAGGCCAGAACATCTGAAGTAATTGAGATTAAGGAATTGGAGGAATCAGATAGCACCAGCAAGCATTCCAGAAAACCCCATGATCAGCCAACTGGACCTAACTTAGCTCCATCATTACTAAACCAACTTTCAACTGAGAAACAATCCAATGGTCAAGTCACTTGCCCTCCTCCACAGCAGTTGTCAAACCTTAGCACTGGATTTCAGTTATCCTCTTCTTACAAATCAGCTTCACATGTCACCACTGCCTCAAGGTTTCAGTTCTCCTCACCATCAGTGGGGTCAGCTCATTCACCTAGCCATTTCTCCTTGCCCAGTTCTCGACAGCTCATAAAATCACCAAAACTACTGTGTTCACCTACAGCCTGTAGTATGCAGCAGGAGTTTTCTATTTCTGAAAGTCTAAGCCATTGTTCTGACTATGATGATATTTTAGATTTGGACGGACCAATGGCTTATCCATCTCGTGTCCCCAGTTTGATGCCAATGGCCTCAAGTCGTGTATCTAGAGATGATGGCTGGCAGCAGGAGAAGTCCTCATTCCCAGAAGTCAATGGTCCTTGCCATAATTGTCAACCTTTGCTGCAGTCACTCATCAGCCGTCTTCGCAATCTGGAAGCTGAGGTTGAGAAACTAAAAAGGAAGCAGAAAAAGGTATGAATAATGAATACATAACATAGTTAATGAAGGCTGGTTTTAGTATTGTAAAATATATAATGCTGTTCATACAACATATTGATATTAACTCTTACCTCGTTTGGAGTCATTTTACTATCCTCTGTATGTGTACATGTATGTGATGATGTTTCACACATGTGATGGCATTAACGCTTATGCCTACATCAGACATGGAGACACCGCTTTGAATTAATCTTTGACTAGCAACTAATAGTAAAAATATTCAGTGAGATTCCCTCACTATTTAGGAATGATTTTCATTGCTGAGGAACAATTTATTTTAGTGCAGTATTAAATTCAAAATTCCACTTCAAGTGTATAGTAAATATTTGGTAAAATGTACTGGATAATTGAGCTGAGTTTACTGTAATTAATGAAACTGACTGCATTAAATCAACTGAGCCACAGATATGTTAGGAGGGAGTTTTATTGCTGGAACATTGCCACAAAACGACATCTGAGAAACAAGTGCAGAAGTTCTATACTCCTCCTGTACTTATGATGAAGATCTAGCCTGGTTCCAGAAAGGCCAATTAGTGCTAATCAAGGATTAAAGTTTTGTTCCATTTTTGTACTTTACCTTCCTATGCATTGCTCGAAGTAATATTTTGTGTTATCATTACAGTATCTCGGAGTAAAGGCTTGACAGTATTTTGTAAGCTCGAGTTGCATCTTTTTGGACAAGAAAACCTTGATTCAAATACAGCTTAATCCTGAGTTAAACTACCATCTTTCGAGGAACCAGGCCAGTGGCTTAAATCTGATTGGTTGAAGCAAATTTTCCTTGTGACATATGTCACCAACTTCAAGCATAGGCACATACTTGTGGTGATGAATCATCAGCATGGAAAATTTGCAGTTGTTCATCAGACATCATTTTACGGCAAAAAATCACTTGAGTTGATATTATTTTGCTTACTTATTAAAGCTATTTTGCCCCTAACCATAACTGACATTATGTCAACAGGGAAAACCAACTTCAGAAAATGAGGATGCCCAAGATACAGAAAGATTTAATGGTCTTACTAAGGTAAGTTAATGACTTTCTTGTTAACATGAAAGAAAAAAAGAAAATACATGCTGAAGATCACAACTTTGACATTCATTTACGGAGCTTATAAAACTACATATTTCCAAAAAAAATTAAACAGCCGAAGACGGCAGCCGAAGTTCTTGCAAAGAAGCTGTTCACTCAGGAAGAGCTTCAAAAATCATCAGTCACTGGATTTCAGTGTAATAAAGATTATGAGGCACGCCCAGGTCTCAGCCCATCTAGGAGGAACTTATTAGAAAGTAAGCAGCAAACAAAAATTATTATTTTTATTTCATGCATGTATGAAACCATGTACAGTTAACTCCTTAGTTAAGGCCACCACCCTTTGTGCACGACAAAGTGGTCGCTTTAAAGGGTTGCATGTCTGCGGAAAATCAAATTTTTGAATTTCTACTTTAAATGGTGGTTTGGTCGTGAAATAAATTTAAGTAGTGGTAACTTATGAGAGAGGTTTAAAGCAGTATTTGACGGAGGAACAAAACCGGTTACTTTCAAAGTGCTGACACTTATGAGGATGGTAACGCTTGCCATAAGTTGTCACTATGAGAGTACTTTTATATTAACCCAGTTGTTTAAAATCCCATACAAACTCTGTATTGTTAGATTCCTATAAGCGGCCAGCTCTAGTTACGGACACCTTTTTTTGAGTCCCGAGGGTGTCTGCTTACAAGAGCTTCCACTGTACCAATTGCTTTCCTACAACCTTTACAATGTGGTCAGTTACCAATTCCCAAAGGAAAAATAGCTTCATTATTTGACGTAAATATGCCCATGCCATGTTGACTGTTTTAACTGACAGGATATGTAATTGTTTTAAAAATCAGGAGAACAGAATACTTAGACTTGGGAATCTAAATGTTACAGGAAACAATCAAGAAATGACGTTCAAATTCCACAGGTCCAATTAGTGTAACAGCCAAACTGTTTTAACATAGCTTGACCCCTGTAATGTCTGCTACTAATATTATTAAAGTACAAGCATCAGTGTGCAAAGAAAGTAGTGTCCGATAGCCCGGGGCTAGTGGATTTTGCTATCGGGCTACAGTGAATTCTGTTTTCAACTTGCCCGGCGGGCAACTATGAAATCAATTCTGCTTAGAGAGTCAAAAAGTTTTTGGCGCTAGTTGAAATGACATCTGGGCTTATTAGTAAATGCTAGCTTCAGCTTGCCCGAATGGCAATTAGCTTTAAAAATGATTTTCTTTGCACCCTGAAGCATACATGATAAAGGATACATAATTATTCAGATGGTAGTAACAACAGTTAATAACAGCTCATGGGTCAACATAAATTTTTTTTGTTTCTTTGGCTCTTTTCCTTTTACAGGTATTGTGTTAAGAAAAGCATTTCCTGGGTCAACTTGGTCATCCGTGAGAAAAGACTTGAGTTTGGTATTAAAGACGGCCAGAGCTAGTTTATTAACTGCAATCAAACCTGAGCCCAAGATGAGAGTCATCACACAAAAAACATGATCAAAGTTTAATACCAAGCAAGGAGTCATCAGGGACATGCAGATAAGAGAAAACTTATTAAACTGATCTAGATCTTTTAAGCATTTGTTTCAATAAATGCTTTGTACATTAGATATTCTGTGTGCAGATTTTTTCTATATTCTACTTGTTTTCAAAGTCTTACTGTATCTTGAAGAATACTTCATTTTCAAGTCATTGTTACAGTTTTACAATTTTCAACAAGAATCTAAAAGCATATTTTGTCAATTGGTTATTAAAAAATGTGACATGTTCCTAGCACGTGAGATTCATTTAAGATTTTACCTGTGATGAAAATTAATGTATTTGATGGGGACTGGGGATCATAATATAAAAAGAAGCTAGAAAATGCGACTGGAGTTTTTTTAATAAGTAATTTGCAAAACCTTAAATAATGCCAGAAAAGCTGGAATTAGCTGGAAAAAAGGTGGAAATTGAATATTCAGTTACCGGTAAGTCTGCTCTAATTTTTAATCTAGTGCCAGAATTTTCAAGAAAAATCCAGAAATCACAAGCTGGAAAAATTCTGATTTCATTCAAAATTAGGATTTCTGGAATAAACTGGAAGATTCTGTCCTAATTACCATGTTTCGTTAACATTCCAGAATTTTCCAGAATTTTCCAGAATAGAAACCTGTAAAGTTCTAGAAATTTCTAGAATTATTTTCTGGGATATTTCTAGAAAAAGTCTAGAAATTCCCAGGTTTTTCCAGTTTTGTTTTACAAGGGATGTCTTGAAAACTAAACTCAGTTCATTCTATTAGCTTTCTATCTACATAATCCTTCCAGCTTCCCATGTAATCTGCCTTATTTCTCCTGAGAATCTTCGTTTTTTTCCCAAATGTTATTAATACTAGTCAGTATTCACCTTATTTTAATGTATTGTACGATAATAATTAATTTCACTTAGTATTGTAATTGTATTGTATTGTAATTGTAATTATTCACTTTGTATTTAGTATTCAGCTTATTTTAATGTATTGTACGATAATAATTAATTCTACCTAGTATTTTAATTGTATTGTTATTGTAATTATTCTACTCAGTGTCAAGCCACTGCTCGCCTCGAATAGCTATAGCTAACTGCAAGCAGTGGTACATCATATTTTGTATTTTCTCAATTTTTCTTAATAAACTTGGAAAACTTGGTAACTTGGGAATTGATCAGTAGTTTTATGTTTACACTTATTTCCATGGCAAGAAAACAAATTTAAAGGATGACAAAAGAGAGAAAGAGAAGTGAAAAATGCAGAAGCAGAGCAAACTCCCCAAAACAGAGCAGGAATATTCACACAACACCGGCTCTTTGGCCTTGAACTAGAATTTGAACTAAAAGAAATTGTGTCAAGTAATGAAATTTCCGATATTTCTCAAAGACTGCAACTTAGTGAACCCCAAGTTAGACCTTCGTTTTAAAACAGACGAGCAAAATGAAAGGACAAAAGGAATGCTACGCAGACCTGATGCTCACTGCAAAAGGAAACTTTATGCTCAAAAGCTTGTTAACTGGATTTATAGCCATTGACATTTTTATGGTTGGTGGCTTCTAGAGAAGCCGTTTTTTTCTAATAGCCTTAAAAAGCTGAAAAGCTGTCCTTTTGTTCCTGTTGTTCTTCTTTAGAAAACAAACGTTTCATCACTGATTGGCAGTTTTCTTTACTGTCCAAATTTGTGCTGTGAATCTTCTTCATCTGTCTGTCAAGCCTTGAAATGGATATGTTGATTGACATGCTTCACCAAAGAGCAGTTTACTAGGTTTTGAAGAGGATGCTTTAAATTGTTCTTCTTGGTCTTTCTTGGATGACATCGTTTCAAATGTTTGTCCAACCCTTTGAAATACAAGCCAGCTTGTTAACAACCAGAAAATCAGCAGTAAACATCTGAGGCCATGATTTCTAATAACGCTTACTCGGTAGCTACGCAATCGAACTTTGTCTGCCATTGGCTTGGCAATTCAAATGTACAATGTACACCTGGGATTTGAGGCCAGATATATTTGCATAATCATAGTAAGCACGTGGCACCTCGTGCTTGACTTCATTTGCCTATCAAAAACGCAAAAAAAATAATGCCTTCTCTGCAGAGCGCACTATGCGATTCGTGCTAGGGTTCAGTGCTATTTAGAGTTCAACCCTCATTTAAAATGGAATTACTGTTTTTCGATTTTCTTTTGTAATATTTTCAATTGCTCGAATGGTTCCCTGCCTGGTGGCTACACAGAATTTCTTCTCATTTCTCGTTTTTCCTACTTTTTCCATTCAAAGGAGAAAAGGTTTAACACTTAAACTTGGTCTTAATGTAACTGTAATGAAGTTGAAACGAATACAATAAGCTTCTCTCCAATTTTTTTTAGGGACAAAATCTTAGAAAAATTGTGTCTTGGGACAGGAAGACATGAAGCTGAACTGTAATTTGGTATGTATATTATTTCGTCCCGAGAAGACCATTTCAAGGTTTTTTTCCTTTGAGGGAAAGGAAGAACAACAGGAAAACATGGCCAATCTTTGCTTTAAAGCGCTAACAAGTGTATGCTGCAGTTAAATGGTCATCATTTGTAATAGTCGATCATGCACACGCATTATACCTGTTTTAAGACAGATGTAGACTTTACAACAAGTTGACTTTTTTGAGCAACATAGTTGTGAAAAGAGTGCCCAACGAAAATGGACTTTCAGAAAGTCTAAGGCAGATGTGTAGGAATTTTAGTACCTTCTGGAGGCCTCGGTTGTCGGCTTTGGGTTTACCTCTAGCAAAATTTGGTTTCGTGTCTGGTTTGAATTTGCAACAGAACCTGGAAACAAAAACTTTTTAACCTATTAATTCATTGATCTAGACCATTTTTATAAGCGTCAAAGAACACAATACAATACCTGCACCAAAATGGTGTCGCTCACCGAGATCTTAAGCCAGCAAATATCCTGATCAGCAATTAACATTATTGTGATTTGGCAATCGATGATATAGAGCAAGCCTGGGAATGCCACCCTTTAGTTCGTAAAGTTGCTGATTTTGGCGAAGGCTGCTTTGGTGAAATACAGACTAATTCCAGTCTACAGTCCAAAACGAATCGCGTAAACCAAGGTACACCCATGTATATGGCCCCGAGATGCTAGTTGAAGAGATGCGATTGCCAGTTGCATCAGCAGTCTTTTGGCATGATCTTCTCTGTCCTTATTAATTGAGCATCTGGTACCCATACTATGGGAAAATTCAAGAAGCCCTAGAGGAGGGAAAGCGCCTATTTGGACGTTTGAGAATCTCTTTAAGAACAGGAAAGTTTGAGTTTGATAGCAGCTACACGGTGGAGACCAAGAATGAAAAGATATAATGTGACAAGAGCTGCAAATCCTTTCGCGATGGTGGTGGTTTCTGCCCTCATGTTCTTGTTGTTGCAGAGAAAATTGAAAAGCTGCGAAGCTTCATGGATTCCTACAAGAAATCTAGTAACAAACTGGGCAACATCAGCGCAAACCTCCCTAAACAGCTTGGGGGGAAAGCCAAATCAAGAAAAGAAACCAAGAAGAGGAAAAAACAATGTGAGCCAGGAACCAGTCCTGTTAGAGGAAGACTATTCCGACATGATGGCACCAAAACCCATGAGGTAAACCGAATATTACCAAAATGACGAGCCCTTCTATGTAGTATTCATTCATCACTATGCAAACGCAACAACATGCATTGGTTGCACAAATGAGTTCCCCAAGCGAGTACAGATAGCACCCTACAACATTGCCATACTTCGCAAAGAGCGTTACTGGTACCTAAAAAAAGATGATCAAGGGAATGTTGAAATGGTACCAACCCATAAAAAGAAGGCCAAGAGGTTTTACTGCGTACATAAAGAGTGTATTCTTCGAAGGCACCCTTAGTTCTGGAGAGGTTTGGTAACTGTCTCTACTAATGTCCAGGGGCGCTTGAAAGAGAGCCACAAGGATCTATATGCAATGCTAAAGTTTAGATAACAAGAGGATAATGCACAAAGCAAACTCAACTAAAGGAGGAGTAAGATTTCAACTGGTCTTATTGCTACTCATATGATGCCACCTATGAACGATAGAAAAACCAATTGTGAGCGTCCATCTGGCACAGCTCGATGTTATTGTGCATCATTTTTCGGTTACTGCGCCTCTGAAGTGTCATTCCTAGCAAAATTGCCAGGGGGCATAGCCAGCCCATACTGAGATCTGTAGGCCCAAGCCTAAAACTTTTTGGTTTGATCACTCTACCGCTTGTAATAAATTATGCATTGCTGGAGTGAGCTTAAAAGGTTAAGTCTATTGGTGAGGTCAGTGTGTATTAGCAGTGCGTGCAATTTTCAGGATATCTATGTTAAATGAAAGTCAGCCAGGCCTACAACTGGTCGAAAAGCTGGCTACACCCTTGACTGCTTGCTGATCGTGGTAGTGAGCTTTCTTTGTATGTCTGATCCACAATATTTGTCCTGTATCCTTTCGTTTCTCTATTAAGGTTTTGCTCAAATAAATTTTCAAGAATGCAAACGGCTGTCTCCTATAGGTTTTGCCGCACGGATTAAAGAGGGCCCAAAATCTAACTTGCAATGACATTGAACCTATTAATGATTCGGAGATGGACGCTCTACAGCTTCATAGGCTCCTCGTTAGGCCCTGTTCCTTATTCCCAGTAAATTTTCACAACAACAACAGCAACAAAAGTACGTTTCATATTAGCTTGCGATATTTGGTGGTGAGGTGAGGCACGAATATTTGTATTCCCTACTAGGTTATTTAGTTTCTTTTCATGATTTATTTCAGTACCGTGCAGTACACGAAAAATTACTCGCATAATAAGATGATTATCGAAATAGTGAATGCTGCTGATAGAATCAAGGGAATAATCTATCCACAAAAAAAGTAACTGGTTTGATAAAAATAACATCCTACTATACGTATACTTACTTTTTTTTTACTTCAGACAACATTGATTCGGGGGGGTGACGGGATTTACAGCGTTTAAAAGAAATG